AGAATGGTAGCATTGCAACAGTGAGAGTAAATGAATAAATGTTTACCTTTATAAATTATCAGCAAGTTCTAAGCAATTTGTATTACAAAGTTCATAAGAAATACCCATATATTTTGTGAAGCAGTATCTGTTTTTTGTTGTTTTAACACATAATCATTATGTTCTAGATTAGCTAATAGTCAGCTGGAAAAAGAAAAAGCAGAATTAATCCATCAGTTAGAAGTTAACAAAGACCAAAGTGGAGCTCAAAGCACTGTATCTGGTAAAGTATTTTCTACTTCTAATGTGTTAGCTAACCCAAGTTTTTGAATTAGGGTTTGCCTTTTTTATTTATTCAGATTTCTGATGATTGTCTTCCTATAAAATCAGATCCCTGATAGGTTTTCAGAGCTCTTTCCTTCATGCAACAGTCATGTTCCCATTGAGTCCTCTTGAGTTGTTTGTAACAGCAGGTACTCAGGTGTTTTTCTTTTTATGTTCCGTATGGGTGTTACATTTAATCATGACACAGTGCTAAGCAATGTGCTAGGTCTGTGGTTTCCAGTTTCTAAGTAGACCCTTTTAAGCCCTCTGAACATGAACGTTATCTTCTAAATGTTATTGTCCTCTTGTTATTTTTTTTAAGATTTTATTAATTTGTTTGAGAGAGAAAGAGAGCAGGAGGGGCAGAGAGAGAGCGAGAAGACTCCCTGCTGAGCGGGGAGCCCGTTGCAGGGGCTCGATCCCAGGACCCTGGGATCATGACCTGAGCCGAAGTCAGATGCTTAACTGACTGAGCCACCCAGGCGCCCCTATCCTCGTTATTAACTTTAAAACTACATATAGTAAACATTGTCTGCATTCTTCTTCCCTTTTACAAAGTAAAACAGTCTAGTGCTCTACATGCTTCCATTCAGAAGTAATTAATCATTGTATTACTTGGTGCATATGTATGCATATGTACATATATGCATTATGTATACTTATGTATACATACATAATTAAGTTGATCCTCATTATTTTCAGGGTATTTGTAAATTCAGCCACTCACTAAAATTTACTTGTAACCCCAAAACCAGTACTCCTGGTGCTTTTGCAGATACACACAGCAGTGAAAAATTTAAGTTCTGACCCACCATGTTCCAGATGAGATCCAACAAGGTGAGGCTCTGCATTACTGCAGCTCTCTCATACAGATGACCAGAGGATGGAGGCCATACAAGGGAGTGCAGCACAGGGCAAGAAGCTGTTTCTGGGGCCAGTTGGACTGGGTTTAAATCCCAGCTCTGACACGAGTGGGGCCTCAGGAGAATCACTTGACACTTCTGAACTTTGTTTTCTCTTTTATAAAACAAAGAAAATAGAATCTACCAGGGTGAATTGTTTCCAGGATTTAAAATCACACTGTATGTGAGATAGGAGTATGTGTATGTGTAATGTTTTCCCTAAGAGCAATGAATCGTTCAACATTCACGAATCCATTGTTCGGGTTGACTTTTGAGAACATCACTGTTAACAGCAAGAATCATTTGTTATGTATATTTCATAGTGCGATGATGGAAATGGCAAATTCTATTCCAAAGGACTATATCAATTTATACCTGAACAATCTTTGACTATTTCATACAGCTTTTTCAGTATCCTACCACATATTCTTTCTGCTACTTTGTATTAAAGCGATCATGTATGAGTTGTACCAGACACTATGCTAAGTGCTTTACAAGCATTTTATAATTTTTTTCTCCCCTGACCCCAGCATTTTATAATTTAACTCTTAAAGCACTGTTTGGTGGGTACTACTGTCTCCATTTTACCTATGATCTTCACCTTAAAGACGTTCAGTAACAAGGTCACAACAGCTAGGAAGTAAAGAGAGGCAGGATGAAACCTAAATCTGTGGAACTCCAAAGCTCCTCACCATTCCCTGCTTTTGACCACGGAAATGCCTTAGCTACCTTTTGGTGACTAAAACAGTCATGTAAATCTCTCTCAACAGTAGCTCTTAGAGCAGCCAGCTTGGGGTACCAGACAAGCACACTCCCAAAGGCCTGTTGATGCTGTTGACGTGTGGCAAGTTCGTTCTTTCTAAGAAACCTGTTTCCTGAGAGGGAATTTCAGAACCCTGTATTCTTCATCATTTAAAGGAGATTAAGGATACCTACCATATTTCAAAGACTGTTAAGGTTCAAAATCAAACCAAAACTGTCTTGGCAATTCTAAAGCACTATTTAAATACAAAGTAGCAAAAAGACTGTGGCAGAATATTGAAAAAGCTGTATCAAACAAAGTTTGTTCAGGCATAAATTGGTATAATCCTTTGAAACAGAATCTGCCACTTCGATCATGCAATCAAATACCATTAAGCTAACTTTGGGAAAGTGCTGTACATAATAATCATTTTTACTGCACTATTTCATTACAAATCTGTGTAACATATAGCATCCCTTTGATTAAGGCAATCAACTCAATATAGCATTACAGTGATTAAGAACCAGATTTATAAAAAATCATTAGCACTTTCTACAAAGGTGAGGGAAGTTTCGAAAAGTATGATTTTGCTCTGTTTTCCAAAGGAAGATGGGTTCTGTTGACTATTCCCAAAGGAAAGGATGAGGAAAATATTTCTGGTCTCCAACTTATAATTAGGGGACCATATCAAGGGAACCTTAATAGAACAGAAACCTTCCTGTCTCATTCATCAAAATGTGTCTTGCGGCCCATTATTTTCTCAAACTTTAGCATTACTTTTAAAATTTTACCCTTCAATGGCTACAAAATATGACAGGACACATTATATGTTGTTTGAAGAAAATGTTTCTAGCAAATATGGCAATTAAATAAAAAATCCCATTTGTTCATTGATTCTCATTATAAAACTGGAGAGATGTTAACTCCAGGTGAGAGGGGTGGTTAAGGATCCAGTAAATTAAAGCCCTTGTGCTCTATTTGTGTACTTAATGGTATCTGACCGTAGTATTAGGATTTATTCGTCTTTGTATTATGCACCCTGCCTGGTGTGTTTTTCACGTAGTAATTACACAGTAAATGTGTAGTGACCTACATGGAACAGCCAATACTGTTGGGGACCAGGAGCTGTTGGCCAGCTCTGGCTGTAGCCCCTTACCTAACAGTCTACTTATTCTTTTGTTATCCTTTTAGTACCTAACAATGCTTCCTGGCTTTAGAATTTTTCTCTGGAAAATAATTTCTTTCATGTAAAAAATTAACTGGATTCTACACTTCTAATACCCAGCAGGTGCCTTTTCTCTTGGTCTGCTATGGAACTACAATACCTAATAGAGATAGCATTACAGTATTCACAGCCCGGAAAGTGTTTCAGCAGTAAAATGCCGTATATTCTAGGCTCTAGTTTCTTAAGCTTTCTACTTATTCTCTGAAACAAATCCTTTGTTAGAGTGGGGAAAAGCAGAATCTGATTTTTATAACTTTTTTGGCAGATCCTGATCAACTAAAGGAAAAGGTAAAAGATTTAGAGACACAGCTCAAAACCTCAGATTTAGAAAAGCAGCATTTGAAGGTAATTTTATCTAATTATAAATGTTTTGTGAAAACTGTTAAAAACAACTTTTATGAACACCATCTTTGAGTTTTAAGTATGTATCCTAAAAATTCCTGGAGTTACATTTGACCTTAATATCACAGAATTCATTACATTCATCTGTGTTAAAAATAGCAAACGAGAGCTACAAAAAAACAGACAAAACAGGATTAAAGAGAAATTTATTTTTTGATTCTTAACAAATGTAGCTCATTATTTTAATATTAAGTTTTGGGTGACATTGGGAATAATGTCTTTTATTTCCTTTTGAAGTTCTTTTTGGGAATAGCTCCCTTTATTAAAGAAAGGTATTTGCCATGCTTTATATCTCTCAAAGAATCTATAAACAGAAAAGAGCATAAGTTGAAGAATTAACTAGTGATCACTAGCTATTCTAAAGTTCAAATTGTCTCTTCACCAGATGCCTCTTTAGCCAGGTAGAAGTCCTAGAGTTTCCCTATTATAAATATATTTATAAGAAGTTGATTATTATTCACTTAAAAAAAATAGGTATTTGTAAAGAAAATATAAATGAAGCCTAAACCAAAGAATCTTAACCAAAATAACTTGTGTTGTGAATAGCCAAGTCTTTTTGATTTCCTCAATGAGAGTATCTGATATACTTTTGGAGGAAGATTAAATGCCGCCCCTCCCCTACCCGTTTAAGAACTGATAAATTTTAGTCAAAAACTAGGACATAACTTACAGAACAAATAATTTAACTTACTAGCTAAGTTAGTTACGCTGTACAATGAAACCTTCCTTTCTAAGAAAATACTTCTGCCTCTATAGTATATAAGTATATTAGATTATTCGGGTTACTTTGGATTTTATGTTTGTAATTAAGTCTCTTTTTAGTTCAAATCTAAAGAATATATTGTATTCCTACATACCTTTCAAAGATACCATGTTTCTATTAGGAGGAAATAAAAAAGCTGCAAAAAGAACTGGAAAACTTTGATCCTTCATTTTTTGAAGAAATTGAAGATCTGAAGTATAATTATAAAGAAGAAGTGAAAAAGAGTATTCTCTTAGAAGAAAAGTTAAAAAAACTTTCTGAACAATATGGAGTTGAATTAAGTAGTCCTGTTGCTGCTTCTGAACAGTTTGAAGATGAAGAGGAAAGTCCTGCTGATCTCCCCATTTATTAAGGACACCTCTACCTGTAGTTTTACCTAACTATTAACTTTATAAGTTAAAACTCCATCTGTAAATCAAGCAGGTCTCAGACCTACATGATTTCCTTCTTCATACCCTGTACCTTTACTAAATTTAAGTTTTAGTAAATATAATTATATGAAATTTTAAACATAAAAGTGTATTTTTGATTTTCAGAGTAAGTTATGACTATCAAATAAACTGATGAATTTTGTATACATAATGTTTGTTCTTTAAAGAGTATAGAGTGAGCTTTAATAACTTAACATTTAAAATTGGGGTTTTATACTTATTTGTATGTGTATTAAGACTCAAGTTTTATATATATGTACATGTACATAAACATGTTATGAGATTACAGCCATATGTTTTATTAAGTGTTTAGAATAAATTCATCTTGAACTATTTAATTTTTAAAGTTACTGATCCAGAACTGTTGGTTTAACTGCTGTCTTTATCCAACTTTTGTACAAGGTAGGGAGCTTATTATTACATTACATTTTTAAGTCTAGTGGTTGAAATTCATTTGCTGGTTCTAAATAAAATTTTGAATAGACCTTTGCAACTGGGAAATTCATGTCTTCAAATGCCAGAAGACATATTGCTCTATTAGACATGGAACCTTGAGATTTTTTTTACCTTCGACATGTGGTAGAATATTCAAGATTCAAAGATAACAGTAAAGCTGGTTCTAAATTGCATTTCTAGTTTATACATCAAGTATTATATCTTTGAGTCTACCAAATTTCTGATTATCTATTTTTGAAAAGAGACTAAACAAACACTTAGTATCAAAGGCATGGTCATACTTGTTCGGGTTCATGTTGATGATAACTGGTTTTGAATTCATATAAGTATCTGGTATTGGCCAGCATAAACCAAGATGATGGCGATGAACCTGAAAAGAGAAAGTTATTAGCTTTAGACTTTTTTATCTTCATTCACTCTTTAAGTATTTATTTTGAAGGCCTACCATCTGCCAAGCACTATTTAAGGCTCCACTTTATCTTACCCTTTTTTTTTTCATACCTGTTCTCCTCCTGACATATTACATATTTACTTGTTATTGTCTATCTTCCCCATTAGAATGTGAGCTTCATGAAGGCAGAAATATTTTGTTGATTCTGTATTTCCAGTACCTGGAAACATGCCAGGAACATATTGAGGGGCTCCATAAAAATTTAATGAGTAGTCTGTTGCTGAGTACAGAAGCTAGCCAATTAAAAAATATGGGTGGGGAGGCATTCTAAGTATCACATGACAGAACGGTGCTTTTTGCTCTGATTGCAATTACATGAGCACGGTTAGAACATACACCGTGTGGGTATATTTGGCAGACGGGGGTGTACCGCAGTTCCGGAAAGTGAAGCAAGGGTCAGATCATGAATAATCTTAATGTCACTAAGCAGTTTTATGCAGCAAAGTTAACATTTTCACTTACGGTGAAAAATGGACAGAACAGGGATAAGATTGGAAGATAACCTTTAAGAGGGTGATAAACTAGGTCAAGCATGAATCTTGGCTTCAATTAAAATGAAAATTAACTGCCAACTGGTTGGGGAGAAGTACAGATTCAAGAGATCAGAATCTTTGTGAAGTAATGGAGAGAGGGGTTAAAAATATTTCAGTTTTTGAATTGTTGGGAGTCGGGTGGATATGACTAGGTCCAGTTCTGAACATTACTAATTTCAGAAACCTTTGAGAAATCAAACAGACAAGTCCAAGAGACAGAAAGGGCATAAAGTAGAAAAGTTCATTCTGTAAATATTAACTGTTACCTTGGCACTTTTAACTCAAATTCTATAATCAAACAAGTTTGGGAAATGCTGAGTTAACCTAAGTTGGTACGGATTATCTCAGAGGGCATTCATTTGCAACATCAATTTTCAAGAAGGCAGTACGTAATGTGCAGTTTTTCCAGACATTTTCATCACTTTAATTCTGACGCACATCTAGGAAAACCAATGCCCCAGAGAATGAATACACATTGGGAAACACTATTATATAAAGAATGGTGGCCTGTGAGATGAGGAAATTAAATTTATTTACAACACATTAGAATTACTGCAATCTGTAGAGAATATTCTAGTGCCACTTCTACCTCGTTTCAGGAAGTAAGACAACATCCCACAAGCTACTTTCTGTCATTACCTTGATTAAACAGCCATCGTTACAATGCCATACTATTCCTTCAATTTTACCCTCTCTGCAACCTTCAAACCAGGATAACAGATCGTTGTGCTTCAAGGTAGGTAGATTTCTGATTTGAAATGCCCCATGTGGTATAAGAAGATGTAATGGATACTTCTTGCTTCCTAGCCCTAAATGTTAAAAATTTCCATTAGCCATACAAAGGTTTCAAAAAGAATTGAGAAAATTTACTTCTCCAAATAAAAAGGCCTTTTAAAACATTTAGAAATAAATTTACCAAAAAGTTTAGTTGGTTTCCTAGGAGAGATATACCATAAGTGATCTCATTCAAAATTGCCACCTTACCCTATTAAATATAAATTTCACCTTCATATAATCTATACCAAGGGTCGGCAAACTATGACCCATGGGCTAAATCCAACCAGATGCTTGTTTTTGTAGTTTCAACGCAGCTATATCCATTCTTTTAAGTACTGTTTATGGCCTATAAAACCTAAATACTTACTATCTGGACTTGTACAGAGAAAGTCCTCCAACCCCTGCTCTATACTACTAGCCAAGTTCAACTATCATTCAATGTTTGCCAAACAGCCACTCTATATCTCTGATAACTTGTGTAATTACTCTTCTTTCCACCTGCCAATCAGTCTGCTTCTGATCCCTATACAGGATTTTGCTATTCCAGCTTTAATGTTCTTGGGTCTGTCTCCATCCCCCTGTCAACAATGTTCTCCACAGTGCCCTCTGGACCTGTACTCAGTTCACCATAGTACAGATTTTGATACTCGATTCATGGTCAATTCTTTACTTAATTTACTCTTAGCTGTTAATTAATGCTAAACTAATTACCTAACCATGAAAAACACAGGATTTTCATTCAACTCATTTCACCTAAATTTTAAAAAGCAAAAAAAGTTACCCTTGAGTAATTCCCTTTCATACCTAGTTCTACAATGTTATTACACAAAAGAATGAAAGGCTAAAATCAACTTTTTGGATTAATAAAATGGTTAGAGTCATGCATAAATTTCTCCGTGGACATAAATAGAAATGGCTATAATTCTAGGAAGCTATTTAGCTCAAATTAGTCATTTCTTTATGTGTTTTAAGTTGAACGTAGGAAGTTCTCTTTATAAATACAGTTACTGTAACCAAACAGGAAAAAGGCTTTACTCACCATACGGGTTTCCATTAATATTTGTTCCTATAAGTTCTAGTGTTTGCTCTAGGAGATCTGAGAGCGGCACTGCACTAATTTCCAGAAGCCCAGGATCATCAGGATGCTGCTGCAGTATCAGGGCAACTTCGAATTCATAATTAACTACAGAGGAATGCCAACAGTACTGTTTGTTGTGTTTCTCCACTGGTACCCAACCTATCATGTAAAGGAAAAACTGTCATGACACTGCTTTTCTTTGGATTGAGACTTGAAGCAATTTTTATATTTGTTACAAATTTTCCATGTTTTCTGGATGTTTATCACCCATAGATACACTTTTTTTTAAATCGGTGGAAGTGTTAGCAGTTTTACTACTTTTTTAATCCTAATCATTCTTTTAATCCTAAGGTTTTTTATTCTGTTGATGAATTAACCTGCTTGATGATTCACTATAGAGCACTCAGCATTCCTTTCCAGAAAATTTTCAGTATGAATTGAATACCATTCTAAAACAGAGCATTAAAACCCTTTTTTCATTTCTTTAAGTTTTCTCTCTACTGTCTCTCCAGTTTCAGGGACAATAGACCTATACAGTAAGTTTTCTACAATTTATTGTACTGTTGCAATATTTGCTAAACAATGTATTAATTCCACACGTATTGAAGGTTATTGCTATTCCTCTCCTAACTTGTTACCAGAATAGGTTCCCGCATGTGGACAATTCTTTATCAAACAAACGAAAACTAGGACACATATGCCACTGTGACCATAATATCTTTGACCTTCAATATTCAGGTTAACTGTAAAAACCTCTTTTCTGGTCCATTAGTCTCCAGGAAAACCCACCCCACTTTTATCATAATCTTACTTCAAAAATTTAAATTTAGTTCTGCTGTACTCCTGCTTAATAATCTTTACAATGAACCTCAGAATCCTCTAAATGGAATATAAACCCCTTTAAGATCTGAGCCCATTCTACATCTCCAGCCTCAACTTTTATAAGTGTCCTCCAATGTCATACACCCTAAACATTCCAGCCACAGAGAAGTGTCACATAAAATTCCCATGACTCCGTATCACTCCTCTTCATGGGAGTTTGCCTAAGCTGACCTTCCCTCGTCCTTGCCAGCTAACTTCCTGGTTCTTAAGCTTCAGTACAGATGTCCTCTCCACTTAGAAGCCTCCTCTATCACAGGCTCACGAGAATTCTTCCTCTTTTCTCTAACTATACCCTTTGTATACCTTCCTTTTAGTTCTTAAATCATAACAATATTGATGGATTTCCCCTAGTGTCTAAAAGATCATGGAGGATAAGGTTCTAATCTTCATTTTTGTGTTACTAGGACCTAAGAGTACTCTACACATTAGGGTATTCAAGACACGCCTGCTGAACTGAACCATAATCTGGGATATCATTCTACTCAGCACACTTTTGCAAAAATTTTCCCATTCCCAGAAAAACTCCTTATGCATTTTAGAAAAGTTTTCATGATACCAGGAATGTGTCCATTTTCATCAGGCATTGGATTCCCATTTAATTGTTCTATTTCCTTCGCTGGTATCCAGCACTCTGGAACAGGTTTGAAGTCCTCCTCAACATTCCAAAAAAATTCTAAAAGAGTTAAATAATTTTATATGTGGTGATACTTTAAAAAATATAAAAGAACAAATTCAATGTGGGAACAGCTAATAAACGCCATGATATTAGGTATTATACAATTATTCTCCATTACCATGATGTGACTGCACTTCTCAGGGTATTAGCACTTCAAATTTTCAATTTTGGGGGCACCTCGGTGGCTCAGCCGTTTTTAAGTGTTTGCCTTCAGCTCAGGTCATGATCCCAGGGTCCTGTGATTGAGCCCCACATCGGGTGCTCTGCTTGGCGGGAAGCCTGCTTCTCCCTCTCCCTCTGCCTGCCACTCCCCCTGCTTGTGCTCACTTGCTGTCAAATAAAATCTTTTTAAAAAATTTTTTCAATTTTGAACCCACCACTCTATTAGTGGATAAAAGTCTAAAGGAGCCAATGTGCCAGGTATGTGTAGATTTACGATGAATTTTTAATGCACTATAAATATATAAATGAAAGAGTGGATATACAATGATTAATGTATATATCTGCTTATATAATATTTAGAGGCATTTTAATGTTTAAACATACTGACAATCCTTTTTGTTATTTTTGTGCCTGACTTATAAAATTACAGATTTGTCTCTTAGGCAACAAAACCAAAATGTGTTGCTCATTACAGTATACATGTAGTAATTTGTATGTTTTAATAAAATCAACATAGTCTAATGAGTTATAAAAATGTTAAGAAAATGATTTAAAATACTTTTCAAGAATATTCTTTTACATACAAAGATACTCAATTATAATTTTCTTCTTTCCCCTAAGTACTTAAATTGTAAGGATATAATGTACAAAAATACCACCACAGCAAGAAATAAGCCAAAAATTGCAGGTTACTTAAATCATAAAAAGCTAAAAAAAACAAAAAGGCCCACTAACCTTTTGAGTTTTGTTTTGATTGTAGATAATTTTTAAATTTTTTCTCAGCTAGTTTGTTAGGTTTTCTATCTAGCCGAGCCCAAAGGTATGGCTGACCTAAAAAAAATAATAAAAGGGAAAAGAAAAGTTTAAGAACCGAACAATAAAACTTATCTTGAAAGACAATTTAGTATAAAAGTTTTTTCAATAAATAATAGGGTCATCTTTCCTAAAAGCAGCAACCCTAGAAGATGCATTCTAACAAACACATCTTACCCAGCAGAACCTGATGCTGTAAGAAGACTTAAGTCTGGTTAAAGAATGATGAGGATGAGATAAAAAGTAAGTATGTGACCCTTTCATAAGGACATTCTGCAGCCATATTTTATTGACAACGAGCACTTATGAGAAACTGAAGCTACCTCTGTACTAAATGGAAATATATCCACATAACTGTAGTCACACTTTTCCTGAAACATAATTGTAAGGGTTAGTTCCCAAAAATGTGGAATTAGGCTGAGCTGTTTTGCACAGCTCTGATCCCTGGTCAAGTTATTAGTGATGATCTGTAATCATGGATCTGTGAGGTTTCAGCGCAGTGTGCCTGCATTCTTTACTGATAACAGTAAGACTAATGAATCTTATACCTGGTGTCAGTGAGACTCCTGGAGGGCTCTGCTGTTGAGGCTGGTTACTTAGCAGGAAGATGTCTCTGTGACCAGCAGAATATAAAAATCCCCAGCTGACACTCCATTTTGGATTCTGTCTCCAAGGTGTTCCCTGCATACATCAGTGGTTCCTGATTTGACAAAGTGTGTCCTGCCCAGGACCTTGGGGGCTGAGGGGTACAAGGGGGTAACAATAGGTGCTTTCACCTGGACTCACGGACCCTTTGCGGCTGTGTACATCCTTACATTCAATGCCCTTGCTAATACTGTGTATCCTTTATATCCTGTAATAAACTGTGGATTTGCAAGCACCATCATTTTGGATCCTGTAAGTTTTCTTTAGCAATCCAATCATGTTTATCTGCCACTATTATACATGATCACACATAATGGTGCACATTTAAGTTTCTTAATATAAATATAAAAGCCTGAAAAATCTTTTAGTTTCTTCAAATATATGAGATTTTAAAATTACTGATTATAGTTTGGTTAGACATTTTGGTTAGACATTCTGTATTACTTATTAACTATCCCAATAAGTAATATGAAGAACAAGATTAAAATTATATTCTGTCATTTCTGGTTCTGGACCTTTTGTTCTTTTTACTAGTAAGTACAAAAATTCATTTCACTTATACCCATTAAAATAGCTACTATCAAACAAACAAAAAAGTGTTGGTGAGGATGCAGAGAAACTGGAACACTTGTGCACTGTTGGTAAATCGTGTAGCTGCTGTGGAAAATAGTATGGCAGCTCCTCAAAATATTAAAAATAGAATTACTATATGACCCAACAACTCCACTTCTGGATATATGCCCAAAAGAACTGAAAGCAGGACCTCCACGAGGTTATTTGTTCACCGTGCTCATAGCAGCATTGTTTACAACAGCCAAAAGGTGGAAGAAGTCCAACTGTACACTGATGGATGAATGGTATGTACATAAAACTACGTGGTATAGACATAAAATTAATGTGATTTGTACAACAAACATACACACAATGAAATGTTACTCATAAAAAGGAAGGGAATTTGGGGTGCCTGGGTGGCTGAGTCATTAAGCATCTGCCTTTGGCTCAGGTCACGGTCCCAGGGTCCTAGGATCAAGCCCCGCATCGGGCTCCCCGCTCGGCGGGAAGCCTGCTTCTCCCTCTCCCACTCCCCCTGCTGTGTTCCCTCTCTCGCTGTGTCTCTCTCTGTCAAATAAATAAAATCTTTAAAAAAAAAAAGGGGGAGGGAATTTTGCAGGTACTACAGCATGGATGAACACTGAGGACACTATGCTACATGAAATAAGCTTGTCATAAAAAGAAAATACCATATGACTCCACATATATGAGGTATCTAGAATAGCCAAAACCATAGAGACAAAGTAGAATATGGTTGTCAAGGGCTGGAGGAGGGGGAATGGTGAATTATTTAATGGGTACTGAGTTTTAATTTTGCAAGATGAAGAGTTCTGGAGATAGATGGTGGTGATAGGAGCATAACGATGAACCGTACACTTAAAAATGGTTAAGATGGTAAATCATGTTAAGTGTATGTTAATCACAATTCAAAATGAAAAAAATGCATTTCAGAAAAGATTTCCTGATACCAGGAATATGTCTAATTTGCATTCATTCAACTGTTCTGTTTCTCTTGCTGAAATTAAGAGGTAAAACGAAATCAAAGATTATTTCTCTCTTCTCAATACATTTTTTTTTCCTTAACTGACAATTTCTATTTTAGTTTCTAACTCTTAAAGTGCATTAAATTGAAATAAATTAGAGATACTGACAATAGTAATAAAAACTATGGAGTCAGCACTGGAATCGGTGAAATAAGAGCAAGTTTTAGGTTCAAACATAGGTTCTATTACCAGTTCAGCCATTCATTAATTATATGGTCTTGGACAAATTATTTAAGTTCTCTGAGGCTCAGTTTCCTTATGTGTGAAATGGAGAGGCTTACTATACAAATTAGAGATAACATGATAAGCATTTACCATACGGCCTGCCTTGAATGAGTATTAAGCAAATGTTAATTACCTTCCTTTCCTCCCCCGAGAAAGATACAATGATAATAATAAGTAAGTATAACAACTGGGACTTTATCATTTTGCTCTTATACTTAGGTTGCCAAGGGTTTATGAAGGGTAAATGCCCTACTTCAGATATATATAGTTTGTAAAGTGATCAAATAATATGTAGTGTAATTTTACCTTTGTAGGTAGTAATATAGCAACATGTTCCATCCACTTTTTCTGTTGGAAGTGCACTGTATATATCTGCATCTAATGCCTTGTGACTTAGAGTTTCAGTTGCCAAAACTTTAAATGGCTTAAAAAAGAGAGAAAGAAAATTGGTTTAAAATAAACAGCGTCTACGCCTTCACACATACTCTCACCTGGAATGTTCTTAATTTCACTATTTCTAAAGTACAATCTTCTGCTTACCCTTCAAGACAATTAAAAAATATTTCTTCCATCAAGTTCTCATGAGTTACCCCCTCCCTTCTATGCTATCACAGCAATACCTGTTTTCCCACACTTATTTTTAATTAGTACGTTTCTTTAGCCACCAGGAGCTGACATCAGGAACCTCGTCCTCGGCAGCACTGTCTCTGCAGCAGTGTGTTCAATCATTTACTTGACAATTACTTGCTAAATGCTTTCTATGGGTTAATCCTTGTCCTTAACAACAGGAAGTTAGAGATTTACAAAAAAGTACTGTCTTTGGTGGAATTTTCATTTTAATGAGCAAGACAATAGTAACAAAATAATACATACATACAATGTTAAGTATAATAAATGTTACGGAGAAAAACAAATGGGGAGTCTTTCAAATTTAGCAGTACTAAACTGCATAATGTATGGTTCTATTTATGGTTCTTCTACTGTCAGGAAGAGAAGCCAAGACCATCAAGAACGGGAGAAAAGAGTTTCTATAATTCCTACAATTTTTTATCTGTAATTTATGTTTATTTCTGAGAAAGACATATGCCACCGTTTTATAGTGTGAATTATCTGAAGTAACACTCATCTTAAATAATGTGAAAAACACTGCACAATACTGGTGTGTACAGGTTTAAAACTAATAAATGAAAGTACTGTTTCTGGGTTTTCTGAATCAGGTAGACTTAGGAAATTAGCAGCATTCTGTTACTGATTGGGTACTTTCAAGATAAAATAATGACGGGATTTATCACTAACTTCTGCAGTTAGTATCAGAGGATATCAGTTTAACCTGTGGTGGTAAGGCCTGGCCTAATAGCAACGTTGGTGTGGATTCAAATTTACCAAAAATCCTAGGGAGGAGATTACTCTGCCCGTGGAGATTTTTTTTTTTTAATTTTGTTTATTTATTTGAGAGAGGGAGAGGGAGCGAGAGGGCGGGGTGAGGGGCACAGGGAGAAGCAGACTCCCCACCAAGCAGGGAGCCCGATACAGGGATACAGGGATAGAGGGCTCCTTCTCGGGACTCTGGGATCATGACCTGAGCGGAAGGCAGACGCTTAACCAAATGAGCCACCCAGGCGACCCCTCGGCCCCATGGAGCTCTAGATGAGCTCCAAATATTCCTTCTATAAGAATCAACTTTCTACCACTCTACTATCAACATGTTCAAAAGACAATGTAAGATACCAAGGGTACACAAAGTTCTCCTTCTCATTAAAGACTTTAAACTACTTGGAAAAAGAAGACATTTGTGTTAAAAAGTAACAGTGAATATCAACTGAGCGGTCCTCCAATTTCCCGACAAAGGAGATCATAGGATAACTAAGATGCTCAAAAATTTCATGGAGAAGGTCTGATTTGAAAAAATCAAAAATTGTGAAAGTAATCCAGGCAGAGCTGCACAGTCCAGGCAAAAATAAAGACAGCACTATGCCTGCTAGGTTCACAGAATGAAAGACTTTGTTCAAACAGAGACTTTAAGTAGGCAACTCCGTCACAAACACACATGGCATTTTCCGCTGCACTGAGCCCAGGCCCCTCATGGTGGGTCCAACAGGCACTTCAAGAGTAGACTGGGCCTGGTTAATGGGAAGCCTTGACTTATAGTTAAGGATCTGAATACTATGCTATAAATAATACTGTAAGCAAATCCTAACTGCAGAGGGATCTGAGCAGGGGCTTATTTTTCCTGGTGGAGGGTACTTTTACCAACTACCCACTCCCACCGACATACAAAGTTGAGAATCACAGCTAAAGTGAACCACTATTTGGGATGTCAATATTTCATATTAGGTTTGTTATGGCTATAAAAAATAAAAGCGTGGCAACTACTGCTACAGACAGTTAGTAGTTAACTGTGGGGTTTTGACCCAGAAAGAACATGAGGATGATCATTCTGGGTGGCAGGAAAGAACAATCAGGCAGTGCAGTAAGCAGCACATAAACTCTTAAGAACTATAACAGCGGTGGCACTAGAAATGTTATGTTACAAGTAAAATGTGTCAATATGAGGGGCGCCTGGGTGACTCAGTACGCTGAATGACCCTGGTTTTGGCTTAGGACATGATCTCATAGCTCCGGCTCAGTGAGGAGTCTGCTTGAAGATTCTCTCCCTCTGCCCCTTCCCCTGCATGTGCTCTCTCTCTCTCTCTCTCTAAAATAAGTAAATCTTAAAAATAAATAAATAAGCATAAATTTTTTTAAAAGTAAAAAGGGTCAAGGTGAATGCAAAATTGGCATGAAAGTACTCCAGTGTTCATTCTTTAATTCAACAAATATTTATCCAGTGCTATTACACTTCAGGTCCTAGAAACTGGGATGTAACAGGACAGTCTCCACCTTAAAGGTCTTTTAGTCTAGAAACCAAGGACACCGCCAATGCAAATGACGTAAGGCGGGTGGGGGTCTATGCCAAATACACATGAAGAATTTTGTACCATGAGTTGGAAGCAACGAATACCTGGGGATTTTGTTATCAAGGCCTTTGCTACACATGAAAGAATTACCCTGATATAGGTGACTAATCATTCACCAGTGTTTACCAAAGTCCCTCTATGCCTAAAACCTGGTGCTGGGAGAAACACCAGAGGCGGGAACAACAAAATTAGCATCAAGTAGGTAAAAGGCAGTAGAAAAAGGGGCTATTAAGATGTAGGTTTTCAATCTCAATTTCCATGCGACAACAAGTTCGAATCGCCTCATCAGAAAAATTCTCTCGAGGATTCCCTCCCTTGCAACTAAGGAGGTACAAGAACCTGGAGCTCAGGGAGCAAGAGCCCCCTACCCTAGACCCCCCCAACGAAACCCACAAAAAGCTCCCGGCCTGCAGGGCGGCTCTAACGAGCCCCGAAGCCCTGCGTGGCCGCTCCCCCGACGCCGCATTCCTCGGTACCTGATGCTCCCTTTTGGTGGAGGGCTCCTCTTTCACCTCCGTCACAAACACACACGGCATTTTCCGCTGCACCGAACCTAAGCGCCTCATGATGGGCCCAACAGGCAGTGCGAATGCAGAGCACGCCTCCAAACAGAGCCCGGGCCAGGCAAGCGTCCCCAGCAGTCACGAACACTTCCCGCTCAGGCGAAGCGGCAGCGCCCCCACGTCCCCCAACACCAAGCGTGGGGCGGGACGCACGCGCAGAAGCCGCCTCCTGACCGCGGCGCCTTCTGGGAGTTGTAGTATGGGAGCCGAGGTACACACACACACACACACACACACACACACCCCGTCCCCAGCCCCGCCCACCCGCCCGCCGTTTGCGCTCCCGCGAGCGTTAGTCCGGGTTGTGATGACCGTGAAACAAGAGATCCGTTTTGTGGTTTTTTTTTTTAAGATTTTATTTATTTATTTGAGATAGAGAATGAGAGAGAAAGAGAGTGAGCATGAGATGGGGGGAGGGTCAGAGGGAGAAGCAGACTCCCCGCTGAGCAGGGAGTCCGATGCGGGACTGAATCCCGGGACTCCGGGATCATGACCTGAGCCGAAGGCAGTCGCTTAACCAACTGAGCCCCCCAGGCGCCCCAAGAGACCCGTTTTTGAGTTGTGTGTGCTTAACCACACTTAGTAACCGATGGTATTTATGAAAATTAAAGAATACCAAGTTACAAATATCAGATGCTGATTTAACACCACTCTGGTGAAAGTTAATTGCCTGTCTCTTTAATAAATTCCTGTAAAAGTTTAGAAATATTCGAAGACCTCTCAAAGCCTAATGGAAACAGATTTCCCAAGAAGAGTGCTAGAAAAAGCTACAATTAAAACACCTGGGAACCCCCAACACAGACAATAGTAATACCGTTTGGATTACACCTCATTGTGCCTCATAATATGGTCAAAATTGGTTCTGATGTTTTCCTGCGTGCAAAATTTAGCCTTAGACTAATCCAAAACCGGATTTCAATCTTAATTTTTTTTCATAGGAATCTCATTTATCTTAAATATGAGTTCCAACAGAGTCCAAATGGCTTGAGTTGTTGGGAGTCAACTGCAGAGCTAGTCAATCAACAGCTTTATTTGACTTGTTGCTTAAAAGAATATTGGAGGGTAAGTGATAAGACGGTCAATGATTAAATAAAATATTAAATATTTAGTAATAGTAGCCTTCCTATCTTATTGAGGCTAGTAGTCTTCAGCAGGGGAGTTATGATACTGCCATTTTTATGTGCTTAGACAAGGTCCAGGTCTCATTTCTATAACTGTGTTACCTGCAGGTACCATAGAGTCCAGTGTTTTCCTGACTTATCCCTTAGAAAAGGTATTTATACAGAAGAGGGTTTCCAAAGAATAAATATTCTTTTAAAAATGCACTGTTTTTTGATTGCTGGATTCAGAGAGGAGAAAGAAGAGATTTGCCATTTAATTTACTTTCTGTTCTGCTATCTTCTTCTCCTAGGACAAACACAAAAAGGCAAAAAAAAAAAAAAAACACTTTTTTTTTTTTTTTAAGAGGGACGGGGGAATGGTACACCTGATGCTAGCTGTGAGCTATGGGGACCAGACACTTAGTATTTTATAGTCAAGCACCAGTGATTTCCTGTTCCTCCAGAGGAATCCCAACAAGCAGTGTGTTTCATGGGTCTCAAGGGAACAACAAATAACCCTCACAACTATCAACTGCCATTTCCCAAACTGCCACAGAACCTTCTAGGTCCAACATTCTGTCATTTCTGAGAAGGGATCATCTTCTAAAACATTCTACTTGCTGTTTGAATAGTAGTAGAAGGCTAACCATTCCTCAGGAAGCACTCCATTTCCAGTGGTTTGATTTCCTCAGTGCCTGGAGCAAAGCCTTTGACTGAAACAAAGGAGTCCAAGTCAGGGGAGAGCCACACGTCTAATTCACAGTTACAAATAGGGCTCCTATTCTAATGGATAGCAGCCAGCAGCTTTGCCAGATACTCATAAACCTGAAGAGCCCGCAAGGAATTACTATTGGCCCCTGTACTTAAAGTGGTATAATTGGATTACAAATTGGAAGAAATACTTGCTTCTCTGACTGATGTGTTAGTATTCTAGCATGCATCAAAGATGGAAGACACTCAGTGTGAGTCTACATTGGCCAACCCAAAATACTTACAGAATTCTCAGGCCTACTCCTAGCTGTGGAGGCAAATTTCCCATTGCTCTTCCTTATACGGAGTAAAAATCCTCATGCATATGGTCACAGCTTTTCCTGAAAGACCAGAATGAATTTCACAACAGGAAAGATGTGAATAAGAAAAGGGGAGGGGGGGTGGAGGAAAGAAAAAGAAATGAAAATAGAGCTTTGTTTTAAAAAATGAGAGAGAAAGAAGAAATTGAGGCTCCAGGCATTCTAAAGACTACCAAAATGTACAAATCTATTTACTGGTCTTTGCAAAGACAAAAAAAAAAAAATCCCCACTTTTGGTTTGACCTGTTTTTGCTGTGTCTAATGGAATGTAATTGTTCCCAACATACTCCAAAAGGTAAAAACATTTTTTCATCCTTTCCCCGATGTAAAACAGGGATTCTCACAATGGCTTTAATCATGATGTTACATGTAATCATGCAATAATGGTGTTTGGTAACAGTATTTGGAAATAATCCATGCAGTCAAAAGCTCATAGGCAGAGAGGGAGTTTATCTGGAGGCAAAGACCACTTAAAGATATTTCTTAGAGGTTTTTCTCAGTAACTTTTGTGCTTAAAATGAGTACTTTATTGTTCTAGAGTTAGCAGTTATGGCAAAACAGAAGGCAAGATGTTAAGTTTTTATATATATATACATATATATACATCTTTGCTAATATTTTGTATATATACATATATATGTACATATATATACATCTTTGCTAATATTTTCAAGGTTTAGCCAAATTTTTATTCTCTACTTCTTCACTTACTTTTAATACTGCCTATTTCTATTTTTTCTCTTATTTACAGTTATAGGCAAACAACTCTTTTCTAAATTTTAATTCCTTATTTTATTTCTTAGATTTTTACCTTAAAGTATTCAGAAAATTCATACCAATTAGCCTGTTTTACTTAACTAAAGTGAGAATTCCTATGCCTTTATGAAGAAAGACTTCAGTAACTGCTGATTGAAATGTCTCATTCTGGGAATCAGAGTACTTCACTTTGTCTTCAACAAATTCTCAAAATTTATAGACACTCTGGACCTGCTATAGGAAGAAGCTATTCCTCCTTTTATGATGGATGAAAAATGAATACAGCTACAAGATGAATAAATAGTCCAATTATATTCAGGTACCTATTAAAATAACACAATCTGATTTTTTTTTCCCAATTCAATGGATAGTAGTGAGTATATATTTACATAATTATATTATCTTGGAGTATAGATAGTATATTTACCTATTAAAAATTTTTAGTTTTGTTTCCAAACCATATATAGAAATGACAGTTTAGAAAACAGCTTTTTACTTGTGAAATACATAATACTTTTTCATTATGATATTATGAACTGGCTTATGTCCCAAAGTCAATCAGAACATTAAAGATAAAACGTTTTATTTTTACTAGCCTATTTGGTTAATATACTAGAATTGAGGAAGAGAAATACTATACAGAATTCACGAAGGTAGGCTAACCTACAGTTACGTGTGAGGTCATTTATGATGAGCAAACAATGGATTAGGTAACAATGAGGAAAATTCTGGAAGTTTGAGTTTGTGTGCTTACTAGCAACCACTTTGAACATTTCTGCAAAGCTAGAGAAGGTATCTTCTAATTTAAATTTCTTTAAGAATTATCTATTGTGTAATATACTGTCAACAGGAGGTCAGTTTTAAAGGAATATTACTGATAGCCTGAAAGACTGTGGAAAAGAAATTCTTTTTCCCCCTTACACACTGATAGTTCTTATATTTGCACTCCTGCAATTCTTATATTAAAAAAACATTGGATTAGCAGCAAGAGAGTTGAAAATGGCAGAAGTTGGGAATGACTGCTATTTCTTTTTTAATTCCACATGCATAAAGGTAAATATTGTACAATTTACGGTACTTCACATGCTTAAGCTTTTTAGTAGAATGAAGGAAGATATGGCAATAATTTGTATTGCTGAGTCAAAATTTACTATTTTCCTGAAAAATACTTTACATATTTAAAATCTGAAGTAAAAGCTTATCATGTATTTTTGACATATTGAATTTCTCTGAGGAAATTAAAATTATGATATAGTTTCAAACATATTGAAACGTTATCTGATACATCGTATTGTTACAGTTAATGTGATTCCAAACATGTTAATTCAAACAGTTAAATTCAGCTTACTATCAAACTTAGTTTAATAAATCTAATTGATTCCCTATTTGAAATTCATTAACCCAGTTACTGAATTTTCCTGCCAACAGTCTAACAGCGAATATTTGATAACATGGGAAAAGGAAAAGAAGTATTATAAACAAATTAGCCAAATATGAATCCAAGTTTATAAGGCTAAAAGATATTAAAGATATAAATATATTAAATAAATAATAAAGAGATTAAAGAGATAGGATTAATGGATCTCAATGAAACCAAATAAATGTAGAAATTTGGAGCTTCATGTTCATACCTGAATGAAAGACACCATGTGTCTGATTTAAAGTGTTTTATCTCTGCTAGGAAACCTGAATGGAGTCAACCTCTTTGATCATAAGAATTTGATCCACTTTTTTTTTAATTCAGTTAGCTAACTTATAGTACATCATTAGTTTCAGATGTAGTGTTCAATAATTTATCAGTTTCCTATAACACCCAGTACTCACTTATTTGCCTGTCCCCTTATGATTAAACCTAGAGATGATACATAATAATAGAATTTATATTCTGTGTGTGCAGAGAGTTTTGTCTGTTTCACCGCTGTATCCCCAAGTACCTAGCACCGTGACCAATGGGTGGTAAATTCTCAATAAATAATTAAATGAATACATAACAATAGCAATAGCAACCACGATACCTTCCTCATATAATTTTTACAATCTGTGGAGGGGGGCATTTTATTCCCTTTTTACAGATGAGAACACTGAAGCACAGACAGGGTGAGGAAATGTATTAACTTTGTAACTATGGACAAATAATGGAACCAGAAGTTCAAATACTGGTTTATCTAGCCCTGTCCACTATCTTGTACTACAAGATCCACAGATCCACTTTTAAAAGGGGGACATTGTGAAGACAGGAGTAAGAAAGTGAGAAAAAATAAGAAAAAAACATGGAACATGTGTCAAAAGACAGAACTTCATGGAATGTTTTTATTGAATGTCACGCACCTCTCTGTCAGAAAGACAACGGCCTACAGTTTTTCTAAGTGTGGGCCTATGTGTAAAAGACATAGAATTAAAAAAAGTACTAGCAGTCCATTAAAATAATCCACATCTGCTTTTGTTGGTATATGTATATGTGTATTGGCACAGTTGTTTATCTTGTAGACCAGGGGTATAAAGGATATACATTTAATGTAGCATAATGTGCTAATTACTTAAAATTCCACAATAATATAAAGTTTAAGCTCCATTCACTCTCCCTGTAAAAACACACTTAACAGTATCTCCAACAGACTAAGAAAACATTATCTAATAAAGATTGATTAATAGAGATCATCTCCACCATTTGAATGTGGCTTGTGATTCTTAAATAAAACAAAACAAAACAAAAAACTATCTTTTTCCAGAAAGCTAAATTAAATTGTTTCATCATCGGATTGCGATCAAGAATATCGGTGGTATCATATATTTATTCTTAGTGAATCATATGGATTAACTGATAACAAAAAGTAGCATTTTATCAGTGATTTGTGGCATGTTGTACTAGATTATATTGTCAGTCTCTCACTAAAATGAAACAAACTTGCTAAAATTTAGACTTATAAACTTATTTTGTAGTATTTTTTGTGATTCTAATTTGATCTAGTCATATTTTCCTTAATTAATTAGCAACTTACTGTTGTTGAACACTAACGCTAGTACATTGAATTTTCCATACTGTTTACTTTTTACTTGCAGGGTTCCCAGTGCCGATTCCGACACTGTGAAGAGGCCCTTGGCAGTGACACTGTGTGCTCATTATGGAGAGAGGGAAAATGTTTAGATCCACTTTGCAGATTTAGACACATGGAAATGCAGGTAGAATTACTCACCATCATCATGTTTGTTAAAAAAAAAAAGCGTCTCCCTTCAATAAGACTGAACTATGTACTCTTTTTTTTCTTATGTTATGTTAATCACCATACATTACATCATTAGTTTTTGATGTAGTGTTCCATGATTCATTGTTTGTGCATAACACCCAGTGCTCCATGCAGTACGTGCCCTCCTTAATTCCCCCACCCCTCTCCCCTCTAGAACTATGTACTCTTACAACACAATAGAGAAAAAAAATGATTCTTTCTTCCACTACTTAATTTTATGCATTTTACATGCTGTTCAACTTAAATTCTTATAAAAAATGGTGGCATATGTTTTAGAAATATCTATTGTATCTTTTAAATAGCAGAGTTTAGAAATACTGAAACTCAGGAGACCCACATGATCCTAAATCAGTAATTGGGATAGTTTTGTCACATTGCATTGTGCTGTAGCACATTGTATTTATTTTGAACATGGTATCTGATCATTACATTTCCCTCACCTCCTTTGTCTAGCAAAACTGCAGCATTTCATGCTTCTGGGAAACTCAACCTCTTGGTTGTGTGAAGATCAGTTGTATCTTTTATCACAGCAAACCTCGCAATATCAATGGATTATTTTTGCCACCAAGTAGCAGTAAGTATATATTTTAAATAACATGGACATACCATATTATAATGTGGTTTTGGAGTAGCAGCATAGAGTGATACATTGAATAAAGCAGGACAAAATGAGTATGGTTTAATAGCCAATGGATGATTTGGGATGATTCTATCAAGAATCATGAGAAAAAGCTTAGAATGAGCCATCAAGTAGCTAACAAGATGAAGTGAACAAAGAGCAAGTTACACTCTCTCTGTGCATATCTAAAGTGGACTTTATTCATCTAAATGTCAAACGGCTACTGACCTCACTAGGTAGAAGGAAATTGTGTCTCAGCAAAGCATCATACAACTGGAGCCAAGCTTAGAGGTCATGCCTCACTGTTGCTCCCTGTGAATGTGCAGAAACCTATCTAATAGGTGGGGAGAGCAAGGGCATGCTCTAAGCTGCACACTTCAGCTTCTGGAAGAGCAGCTATATATGCGGTTCTTTCTAAGCTTCAACTTGGAGAAAATACAATCCCATTGCTGCAAAAGCTGTGGCACAATTCAGTCTTCCTAGATGATACTGAGACTCTACTTTGTGGTGAACCTCAGTGTAGCTTCTGGAAAGGAGATACAGAGGACACCATACCCTAAATCAGTGAGTGGTGAGAAACTTGCTTAAGAAGTTGGGACTGTCAGGTTTTCCTGGTGCTGTAGCTATACCACTTTCTGCTATGGCCTTCATATTTTTCATAATGGACTCATTCTAGAAATGAGCTTACAGGATATCAATCCTTTGGGATCTGAAAAATTGGCTTCAGATAATCCTTTGGCAAATGGTAAAAATTAGGTCCCCTTGTTAGGTTCTTCTGGAAAACTCTGACCTCATGGCATTCATCATATATTCAATACCTTAATCAATGATTCTCCTCCTCACTGGACTGTAAACATCATGAGGATGGAGCTCATAACTAGTTTCCTTACCAATGCTCTCCGCAGTGTCTAGAGCATAGAGGCTCAGTAAAATTGGATGAATGGATAGATGGATGGGGGATGGATAGGTGACTGCTGAAACTACTGGGGACCCACTGTAGTGAAAGTGATTGCACCTACTAACTGATCAACTTGGCTTCATTGGTTTACATAGAGTGTAATTTTATTTTACCAGGAACGTTGTACTAAATTCCTTATATCTTGTTAATAGTTTGCTTCTTAATGGTCTATGATAAAATTAACTATCTTTCAAACTAGTTCATTCAGGACTAGAGGAAAACAGACTGCACCTCTGTGCCAAAAAAGGGTAGAATGTCTGTATAACTGACAATTGTTGGGACCCCCATTGTTATACCACCCTGGGCTAAGTTCTGTAGGGATATATTTTATTACTCTAATTTTTAGACATAGAATCTGGTGGTCAAAGATTACTTCTGGCTTTTCTGGAAGTCTTAACTTCTTGAACAGGTATCAAGGCTGAGCCTGACTCTTGGAGTAAGGTTTCCTCTCGATAGGGTCAAGACTAGACCCAAGCACTGGGACCAAACCCTAGGCATTGTACCTCCATTGTAAGAGAGATAAGTGGGTTTCACAGGCTGCTAATACCCTGCTTTCTCATATCTCCTTTCCTCCATCTATAGGGCATAAGAGGGAGACCCATATACCCATCCCACCCTCCCACACACCTCCCATCATGTCCACTTACCTGATTTGAATTCACCAGGACTAATTTCATTCCACCCTTTATCTATTTATCTCAGTTTGTGTTTGAATGATAAAAACACTCCTGTGTGTTTCTCATGGGTTCTCACACTACTACCATACAACAGTTCAGACATCAGATGGGAGGATTTTTTCCCACATCAATGATTTTTTTCCAAGCAACATTCTATAACATCACCTGGGTGTCCTACACTTCAGTTCTAACAGTACCAGGAGTTAGCACAGACCCCATGGACTAAGGGCTCCAAAAGATTCCCCCTGCCACTACGTCAGATGTCAATCAAAGGTCTCCAGGCTACTCAAACTTCCGTCTAACTTGGCTACAAATTGGAGGTTCCCATGATCTCCCTCCTCTGATTCTATCATTTCCCTGAACTCAGGGAAACAGTTATTTACATTTACCAGTTTATTATATAAGATATCATAAAGGATACAGATGAACAGCTAGATGTAGAGGTACATAAAGCAAGGTCTGGAAGGATCCAGAGCACAGGAGCTTCTGTTGTGGGGTTGGGGTGTGCTATCTTTCCACTATATAGATGTGTTCACCAATTTGGAAGCTCTTCTAATCTCATACTTTTGGAATTTTTATGGAAGCTTCATCATGTAGACATAATTGATTATTAACTCAATATCCAGCCCCTCTCTCCTTCCTGGAGCATAGGGAAGAAGGTGCTGAAATTTCCAAGCTTCTAATCATGGCTTGATCTTTCTGCTGACCACCGCCCTTCCTATAGCTATCAGGAGCCCACCCAGAGTCACCTCATTAGAACAAAGGACACTCCTATCACCCAGGAAATTCTGAGATTTGAGTTCTAGGTCAGGAACTCGGGTCAAAACCCAAATATTAGAATGAAAGGTGCTCCTAGTACTCTTGTTATTTAGGAAAGTACAAGGCTTTTAGGAGCTCTGTGCCAGGAATTGGGGGCAGAGACCCATATATGTATTTTCTACGATTTCACATTAGTGAATACCAGAAACCCCATCTCTCAATGACTCACTTCTATCCTTGTTTGGTCCCTCTCATCCACCCTTCCCCAACCTTCAAATATCAGCAGGATACTTTCTCAACTTCCTCTCTGAACTTTCCCTTCATATCCACAGCTAATGTAAGCATAATTTCCTTCTACGGACCCTACTTCTCCTGCAGCACTCTCCAAATGGCTGTTTTTTCTCCCAGCTCTCAAGTAGCATTTGACCTGGAGGCAAGGTAGAAGGTTCCCTTGGTCCTCATTGCCAATTTCAAGTTCTCTTTCTCCCTAAAACCATCCATAGAAATCAATTCTGATTTTTGAAAGATTTATCCAAATATATCTTTTTAATGTTACTCATTTATTAGATCCTTTATCCTATGATTTGCTTAAACCCTTAAATAAATTGCACTTTAAAGGATTATCAGTAATCCATTTAAAAATTCAAGTATACACATCAGTGTTGGTTACTATGCAGAGAGAATGTCATTGTGTATAGTTTCATTTAATCTGTGATAAATGTTCAGCTGTATTTTTTATTAAAATAAACCATGTCAAGAAAAAAATAATTTCTTATATATAATGCCAATGGATTATATCATTGTTACCCCTCAGTGTTGCTGTGGGTTTTTTTTTGTTTTGTTTTTTGTTTTTGTCTCTGTTTACATCCATCCAGGTCCCTCCTGGTTTCTCAAAAGTCTGAACTCTTGGCTCATTGTCCCTCTAACAGTACTCCTGTGTCAATTCTTGATGATTTCAGTATATAAATGTATGATATGCCCATCACCCTAGCTTCTCAATTCCTTGAACTCAGTTCCTCCACTGATCTTATTCTCCCCATCTCTGTCACTCTTTCTTACTCATATCCAAATCCTAATTACCACCGCCACCCCATGATCTCAATTACATGCATTTCACCCTATGACCTATTTTTCTATTTCACTCCTTCTAGAATCCTGAATGTAAACAATTCTTCAAATCCACTGGGATCTCTAGTTCATTGATTGTTCCATCTTTTCACCATCCCTCACCCCCTGGATCTAAGTTCTAGGACACCATACTTTTTTTTTTTTTTTTTACTCCTATGTACCCGGGGCTCTATTTTCACTCTCCCTTGTTGTTTTTTCCTCCACTTCTTACATGTGGAATATTCTATGAGTTAGTCTTTGGTTCTGTTTTCTTCTCTACCTACTCCCTTGGTAATTTCATATCTCATATCCAATCTTTATTTTGTTCACTGATGAATCCCAAGCACCTAAAATAGGAACATGGTATTACCTTTCACAGAGAGGCCAAGTCCACCCTCGGAAGTCCTGAGCAGTATGGATTTGTGTTGAGCATGTAACTGTTTTCCCTCTGCCCAGACACATTTTTGTGCTCTAGGATAAAGGATTCAATTTCCAGACGGTAGGGAATTAACGAGCTTGTTTGATTTATGTATTGAACTACCATATCATCTGTTCATTTTGAAAATATCTCAACACCTCAGAAAGTATAATTTGATCTTTTGTAGACCTGATCTTTCCTACAATATTTCCAGGAATACCTATCTACCAAGATTCACATTAACCCAAACTAGGACCCCTAAATCTTCTCACCTTAGACAAAGATTACATTATAAGGTTGTACCTTTATTAAAATTAACCTTTTTATGTTTCAGTAAGTGCATGGAATTGATAAATTCAAGATGGGATTATGATAATTTTTTGGTAGCAAAATATAAGTATCAATTCACACATAGCACTGTGGAATTTATATATAATTTTGCCCCTTAGGTTAAAATAAGATAAAATTTAGATATTTAAATGTATAACCTGTAAGAATTTCTAGGGTTTCTGCTCAAGGAATTGAGACCCACCATGACTTGGAGGCATGGCAATGCCCTCTAAGTCACCAGCTGTGCTCTTCCAGAATGAGGTGCTTGCCAAAAGCAATTTTTCAATAGTTGATTTGCCATTGTGTGTCATTTTTAAGCACTAAGTGCAATTATCAAGAGTTCTATATTTTTTGTCTGAGAAAATAAAACTGCCAGTTAGTCTTTTTGCAATTTAAACTTTAACCTGCTAGCAAATTAAAATAGGTTTTGGACTCTTTGGAAAGAGACGTCATTTAAATACTGCTAAACCAGTCCTTTAAAAAAGAAGCCTAATCCCTCTGGTTACCATTCTCAAGTTTAAAAGCAAATAAATACTAAACCAAAAGATAATGCTAAGAAAACATAATTCAGGGGCACCTGGATGGCTCAGTCATTAGGCGTCTGCCTTTGGCTCAGGTCGTGATCCAAGGGTCCTGGGATCGAGTCCCACATTGGGCTCTCTGCTCAGCAGACAGCCTGCTTCTCCCTCTCCCACTCCCCCTGCTT